ATCTTTAGTATAAGATTTTAAAAGACAATTAAATATTTGTCTTCCCAAATTTAATAGTAAAAAGACAGACAAAAAAGAGTCTTTTTACACAATTCCAACCTGTACTTTATCATGTTTAGACTAAATTTTTAAGTCTATCTTCAATATCCATTGGTTTTATAATTTAATTGCACAATTCTTTTCAAACTTGAAATGATTTATGAAAATATAAAACAAAAAATTGACATTGTAATAAAATTATTTAGTAAGGCTTATTTTTTTAAATTATATCTGTGCAAATTAATTGGATATGTATAATTTTAAAAAAACCAATAGTTTAGTGACACAAATAATAAAAAGTAATTTAGATATATTAAAAACCAAACCTTTTCCCATCACTTCTTTTTTAATAGTTTTATTCTAATCTTACATTTGTTTCAATTTTTTGTTTCAAACTTAGTCAATATTGTTTGATATTAGTAGGAACTTTTTGACAACTAAATCAATGTATGATTGCATTATTATCTTAATTTATTGCCATCACAGTATTTATAAATGCTGCCTACGTTGTCCTTTTTTTTTCTCACCATATTCTAAAAAATCCATCTAAAATCTGATTTTTTGATTGTCCTACTAATCCTTTTAATTTATTCGAGTTTGATGAATTTGATTCTTTTATAGTACATTGTGATCTAGTAGTATTGGTTTCGATTGATTCTTCGACATTATCTTCAAGTTCATTTCAAAAAAAATTTTATAAATTTTTTTTTTGTTTACGAAACAAAAAAAATCAAATACATCTAAAAATAAAATAATATAATTCCACCATTATAACGGCGATTATTGAATGATTACGTCCCATCTATAGGAGAAGTATGTTCATTGTATTATCCGTTATCATGAGTTCAACGCGATCTCCAAGAGCTGAATTGACGAGGTCGATAAAATTCTTTTGGTCCCTTGAGTAAATTCTAAGAATATCCTCCAGCAATCCAATAGTTAAGGAGTTTTCTGCAATTTCTGTTGCCAGATTTATTAATATATCTCTTGTTTTTTTGACAAACGGATGTGAGTAAAGTTTCTCCGTACTTCCCGATGAGAGGAAAATAGTCTTCCAGAAATATGAAGATTCCAGTATGGAAATCTGGAGGTTGTAGGTATCCTCGGTGTAAAATCTTTCGAATGCATTTTTTTGAAAGCAATCAAATATGTGATAAAGTAATTCTTCGCAGATCCTAAGTTAGAAAAAAAAAATTTCTTTTAATAATTGCATCAAATTGAAAACGGTAATATCAATAATACAAACTTATTTCTTATATGAAGCAATCTTGTGGAGTCGCAGATGAGCATTATTTCCCTCAAAAGGTGATTGTTGATGTCCCACACATCGTGATCTAACCTAGCCTTCGCCAATGTGACATAGTGCTTTATAACATCAGGTTCAAACTATCGATAAAAGAAGCTATCTTGAAAATAACATGATTAGATAGGGGTTCTATTAAATTGTTCACAATCTTCTTCAATTCTTCACAAATATGTGACCAATCTTTAACCATTGTATACACAAATGAAAAATTTGCGAGTGTAACAAATGCAATGTTTTTTGCTAGTATCGACGGGTCGTTGCCTTTCGAAGTGAGAAGTGTTGTTAGTTTTGGAAGCCACGTATATGAAGTAGCTAAGGCCTTATTTATGAGTGGTGACTTAGAGTCTTGAACTTGACCCAATGTAAATTCCAAAATTATGAGAAAATTCTGCAACAATGATAGTTGATCCGAAAACGCCACACACTCGAGTATCTTTATTAGATCTTCGATTGGCCAATTAAGATCTTGTTCCCGAAGGATGTCATTCAAAAATACGATTTCACAATTTTCCCACCGTGTGTCCCGACATTGCAGTAGTTTCACGAGTCTTTCGAGAAATATAATCTTTGTGTCAAATCGGCTTTCGTTGTGAAACTCTTGGAGGCGTCTACGTAACTGAAAAAGGTTATCATGTGCGATCAACTCTCTAATTCTCTTTTCAACCATGAGTTTTAGACGTTCATCGAGTCCTATAACATCATTCAAAATAAAAAATAGACTTTTCAAATCATATGACAACCCCAGCAATTTCTAAAAGGGTTTAAAAGAAATGGTAAGTGTAAGCCTCGTGAGAATCATGTCAAACATTTCTAGACCGCGGAAATTTAAGATAATAGCTACCATTGCAACCCGACGAAATAACTCATCGTTTTGTTTTATTTCAGAAATGTGCGGTTGCACATGATCTAACAAGGACTTTTGAAAAGTACCGGGGTCCACGGAATAATCATAATATACTATGGCTTCCAAGAAAGTGTATTCCTCATCATGTTCTGGTGCAATTGTAAACATTCTAAACCATTCTAAGCTACCATACTTGGAACTATGCTCCGTTAGGGCTTTTATAGATAAAATTACATAGCGCTTTGTTCCTGAGATTAGGGTTAAATCATCAAGCACTTCAAATAACATGTCGGAAGGAAAATGTCGAGGCAAACATATACCGTCATATTGTTGTTTATGTGCCTGACTCATATAATAGCCGAGAAGTAGAAATAAGAAGTAACGACTTTCCTTTATATTACTATTGATCAGTCGATCCTTAATAAATTCAAGATTTGTTGCCAATCTTGTATATGAGGAGTAATCTTCATGGATCCTCTGATATTCTATTATTTTATCTTTCAAATTTTCACTGGTAATGCGTTCGTATATGCACCGAACAAATGAGTATTCTTTCTCAAGTAAAACGTGATTAGTTCTGAATGTAATGTTATTTATCCAAATATCGTAATGGTTTTCTCTTAGTTCCAACAAACGGTTAGACTGCTCCCCTACGCCCTCATAATTTTCAAATATAGTAGTACTCCTAAAACCAAAGGGAAAAAACCTTCGTGAAATACTAAAAATCGCGTATTTATATCTAACTTCAATATAATTTGGAACTAAGACCGGATCGGATATCCATAGAGTTGAATCACCTACATTTCTAAGAAATACTTTGGGGTTTTCTTTATTCCAGTTGCCTAAAGATTCACAACTTCCGAGAATTGCAGGTATGTAATAAGGACCAAGTTCAGGCATGTGGACGTGGAAAACGGTGGTGTGTTCATTTAGATAACAATCATAGATCGAGGTATCGTCATTATAGTCCAACTTCTCACTCGAAGAGGGGAGAATACCTGTAAATTTACTTTTTTCGCTCATTATTATTTCCAAGAAAACCGGAATTTCAAATTTTAAATACGAAAATCAAATCACATGTACTTATCTCCATTTTGGGAATAAGTGGTTACACAGTGCCTTATTTTATCATTCTAGTATACGTCAACTCTTGATAAAAGAAAGATTACGTTAACCGGTGATCAAAAGACACTTTAATAAATCTCATTTTAGCTATGATTTCAATTTTTCCGGGACCCGGAAAATTCGATAAGAGCACAATAAATAATTAAAACAATTTCAAATTACCATGTATCATAAATAAATCCTAAATATTGGTAACTGGACTAAACAATTTTTTGATTTATTGTTTTTATAATTTTGGCAAAAGGGCACAGTAGCACAAAGCAATATCGCATTACGTTAGAGTGCTATTGATAGGAATAACAGTAGGAAAATATAGACGAATTAGATGAACGTAAGTATAATAAATTCCATACATATCTATATATTTTACTGCATTTATCATTTAGACCTTCTTTTCCTAGAAATCAATTTAGATCCCCGGATCTTGTCAGTGAAAAGTTAATTGTTAAAATCTAGAATATAAAAGGTCATAATGAGATTGAAAAAAAGCAAAAAAGAAAATTTTATAATCAATAATAATTATTTGAAAAAATAAAAAGTAAAAGGCAATAAGGTTAAATTAAGAAAATAAATATAAATGAAATAATAAAAAATGAAGAAAACAGATAAAATAATAGAAAAGAAAAGAAAAAGGAAACAGAAAAAAATAAGCATATAAAAACAAAAAATAAAATAAATAAAATAAAAATAAAATAATAAATAATAAAATAATAATAATAATAATAAAGAATTAAAAAGAAAAATAATAAAGAATTAAAAAGAAAAATAATTAAATAATATAAAAAATAATTAAATAATATAAAAAATAATTAAATAAAATATAAAATAATTAAATAAAAAATAAAATAATTAAATAAAAAATAAAATAATTAAATAAAAAATAAAAATCCAAATCAACATTAGTCAAAACTATTTAATGAAACAACCAGCTATCCCATTTTCTTTAATATTTTCAGGTTAAAAAAGTTATAAGCAAGGTATTGTTTATAATTAAAAAAAAAACTTTATTAAATGTGAAAAAAACCCAGATAATTTTGTTATTTTCCAAAAAAAAAGAACTTTTTTATATAAATGTTTTTTCAATATAAATAAGTAAAATAAAAATATAAGCTAAAATAATATATATAATCTTATTAATTCTCTAGAAACAAAAAAATAATAATAACTGTTTTTCAAAATATAAACTCAAATCATTATCTAATATTTTTATTTATCTCATGTCATATATCTATGCCTCTATTTGACATTATAAAATCAATAATCAGAACATAGCAACAGATTTGCTATTACAATCTTTGCAATATACTGTATACAAGAAAAAATATATAATAAAAAAGAAAAAAATAAACAAATAAATATAATAATAAATAATAATAATAAAAATAATAATAAAATAAATAAATAAAAAATATATAATTTTAAAATATATATTGTTGGGGGTGATAATGGCGAGTCTGTCGCTACGTCGCGATCGCCGATCATGTAACGTCGAAAGAGGCGTGGAGATGTGGTACGAGATAAGTGAAAGTGTTAGATATTAGTCTGAGTTTAGGATAAAAGGACGGTATTTTATTGTTGCTTTTTCTCTAGTACAT